TCGAATACCGTTTCGAATAAATTTATTGAATACAATTTTGTTCTCTCTCTCTCTCTCTCTCTCTCTCTCTCGAATACCGTTTCGAATAAATTTATTGAATACAATTTTGTTCTCTCTCTCTCTCTCTCTCTCTCTCTCTCTCGAATACCGTTTCGAATAAATTTATTGAATAAAATTTTGTTCGAATACCGTTTCGAATAAATTTATTGAACCAAATTTTATTCGAACAATATTTCGAATGTATTGTTAGGATCAAAATTATTATAAAATAATTAATCCGTTTTGACACTTTGAATGCCAAGTCACAATCTCAAAAACTTAATAATAAAATTAATATATTTAATAATAATAAAATTAATATATTTAATTATAATAAAATTAATATATTTAATAATAATAAAATTAATATATTTAATAATAATAAAATTAAAATATTTGTCCAGTCGAATTAAAATTGTTAAATTCAGTCGTGTAACATGAATTACTTTTTCGATATCCTTACGTTTTACGGATCCCGTTAATCTTCAAATCTGAGCGAATAATTCTGTGATTCACACGTATCAAAGCGTTAAAAGGTGTACGAATACCTTTTACAACGACTGTAGTCACACACAGGCTGTAGGGAAAATTAGTCGAGCAATACGTTATCCACGTTTTTACCCGTCTCCATTCTTATTCTCGATTCAACTAATTTTACTTTGGCATCGGTCCAGCCGGAATCTTCCCGTCTTCCTTTCTTTCTACGATATCGTGCAAAACTCTGCTTCCTTCATCTTTTCAGCTTCAGACACGCGTTTTCAGTGGCCTCGAAAAAAATTTACGTTCTGTTTTCTTTCACGCGATGAAAACTCTTCGCCGGCCTCGCGTCGAACTTCGATAAAATATGACAACGTGTTGCGAACAGTTTCATACTATATTTAACACGAGAATGTAAACTGTCTTGTTCTCTGACAAAAGTTTACGGGTATATCGCTATTATTATCTCGATTCCGATCGAAATAAACAGTCTTTCTGAAAGTGGCTTGCTATAGAGTTACTCTGTAGATATTTCATATGACTTCCTTTTGTAAAAGTCCAAACATTGTTACATGCTATAGTGTAACATACTATATTTTATATACTATGTATTAAAACTAGTTCTTATATAAAGCAAGTTATTAATTAAAATAGTATTTTCTTAAGATGTACTGAAAATAATTATTTGAAGTAGTATTTCATGTGTCTACATTGTTATTAATTATTTCTTACGATTAATACTTATGGGAGAAAATAAACCAATAGAAAATGCACAAACGCATTATTTTAAAAAATAAGCTTCTTATTTTTCTTTTAATTAACGAATATTATTGGAATATTTAACGTGCGTTTGTTTTTAACAGTGCACGTATGTCGAATACAAACACAATTGCTTTGTCTGCCAAATTTCATGGAAATAATATTAAAGTGTTTCATTTCATGGACAACAAAGAAAATATTTATTTCGATGAGGTATATCAGGTTCATACTGTAAAATTTATTTTTTAAGCTTTTATTATATATTTTGTAAAATCAATGAACTATTTCAACTGGCATTTTATTTAATACAAAAATAAGTAACTATTTTAAACGAAGCATATTAGCCCGTTAACACGTTTGCGGGCAGTAAAAATTTTAACAAACTGCAAAAATAGACTGGTGATTTATTCTTGAACTAATTGTGATTTCCAAATTTTGTCCGAGTGCGTCTTAATAAGTTATACATAAACTGCGAGTTTTTATGCAAAATAAAAATTGTCTGCATCAATTACAAGCAATTTCATTCGTCCTTCAATCATCTCAATAGACCAATAATAATACATGGACCTTCTAAAATGCATTTACTTTTTATCCTATTTTAAATTGTAACTATCCGATTTTGTCATAAATGCATAAAATCGGCAGTCCAGTTGTGTACAATGAATGCCGTAGCATCCACATAGATACAAATCGAACTAAAGTTCATAATAATTTCAAAAAATAAACGCTATGTAGAATTGAATCCACGACAATGTTCCTTATAATTTCAATGTTATTATTGTTTATATGTAAACGTTTCGTTGTGATATTATAGTGCATTGCGTTTTCCAAATTTTGCCCGAGTGCGGAGAATATCACACTTTGACAGTTGTATTTTTCATGTACAAAGAAAAAGAAGACAAAATAAAACGAAAATACTTTCGTTGAACCAATTAGCCGTTACATTAAGGTGCATAATAATTTCAAAAAATAAGCGCTATGTAGAATTGAATCCACGACAATGTTCCTTATAATTTCAATGTTATTATTGTTCATATTTAAACGTTTCGTTGTCGTGATATTATAGTGCATCGCGTTTTCCAAATTTTGCCCGAATGCGGAGAATATCACACTTTGACAGTTGTATTTTTCATGTACAAAGAAAAAGAAGACAAAATAAACCGAAAATACTTTCGTTGAACCAATTAGCCGTTACATTAAGGTGCATAATAATTTCAAAAAATAAGCGCTATGTAGAATTGAATCCACGACAATGTTCCTTATAATTTCAATGTTATTATTGTTCATATTTAAACGTTNATTAAAATAGTATTTTCTTAAGATGTACTGAAAATAATTATTTGAAGTAGTATTTCATGTGTCTACATTGTTATTAATTATTTCTTACGATTAATACTTATGGGAGAAAATAAACCAATAGAAAATGCACAAACGCATTATTTTAAAAAATAAGCTTCTTATTTTTCTTTTAATTAACGAATATTATTGGAATATTTAACGTGCGTTTGTTTTTAACAGTGCACGTATGTCGAATACAAACACAATTGCTTTGTCTGCCAAATTTCATGGAAATAATATTAAAGTGTTTCATTTCATGGACAACAAAGAAAATATTTATTTCGATGAGGTATATCAGGTTCATACTGTAAAATTTATTTTTTAAGCTTTTATTATATATTTTGTAAAATCAATGAACTATTTCAACTGGCATTTTATTTAATACAAAAATAAGTAACTATTTTAAACGAAGCATATTAGCCCGTTAACACGTTTGCGGGCAGTAAAAATTTTAACAAACTGCAAAAATAGACTGGTGATTTATTCTTGAACTAATTGTGATTTCCAAATTTTGTCCGAGTGCGTCTTAATAAGTTATACATAAACTGCGAGTTTTTATGCAAAATAAAAATTGTCTGCATCAATTACAAGCAATTTCATTCGTCCTTCAATCATCTCAATAGACCAATAATAATACATGGACCTTCTAAAATGCATTTACTTTTTATCCTATTTTAAATTGTAACTATCCGATTTTGTCATAAATGCATAAAATCGGCAGTCCAGTTGTGTACAATGAATGCCGTAGCATCCACATAGATACAAATCGAACTAAAGTTCATAATAATTTCAAAAAATAAACGCTATGTAGAATTGAATCCACGACAATGTTCCTTATAATTTCAATGTTATTATTGTTTATATGTAAACGTTTCGTTGTGATATTATAGTGCATTGCGTTTTCCAAATTTTGCCCGAGTGCGGAGAATATCACACTTTGACAGTTGTATTTTTCATGTACAAAGAAAAAGAAGACAAAATAAAACGAAAATACTTTCGTTGAACCAATTAGCCGTTACATTAAGGTGCATAATAATTTCAAAAAATAAACGCTATGTAGAATTGAATCCACGACAATGTTCCTTATAATTTCAATGTTATTATTGTTTATATGTAAACGTTTCGTTGTGATATTATAGTGCATTGCGTTTTCCAAATTTTGCCCGAGTGCGGAGAATATCACACTTTGACAGTTGTATTTTTCATGTACAAAGAAAAAGAAGACAAAATAAAACGAAAATACTTTCGTTGAACCAATTAGCCGTTACATTAAGGTGCATAATAATTTCAAAAAATAAACGCTATGTAGAATTGAATCCATGACAATGTTCCTTATAATTTCAATGTTATTATTGCTCATATTTAAACGTTTCGTTGTCGTGATATTATAGTGCATCGCGTTTTCCAAATTTTGCCCGAGTGCGGAGAACATTCTGTCTCTTATACACATCTAGATGTGTATAAGAGACAGTTGCCCGAGTGCGGAGAACATTCTGTCTCTTATACACATCTAGATGTGTATAAGAGACAGTTGCCCGAGTGCGGAGAACATTCTGTCTCTTATACACATCTAGATGTGTATAAGAGACAGTTGCCCGAGTGCGGAGAACATTAAGGTGCATAATAATTTCAAAAAATAAACGCTATGTAGAATTGAATCCATGACAATGTTCCTTATAATTTCAATGTTATTATTGCTCATATTTAAACGTTTCGTTGTCGTGATATTATAGTGCATCGCGTTTTCCAAATTTTGCCCGAGTGCGGAGAACATTAAGGTGCATAATAATTTCAAAAAATAAACACTACATAGAATCGAACGCGCGGCTTATAAATTCGAAAGTTCTAGAGCATTCACGTAATTTTGTAACACAACGAAAATAAGAATGCTATCATCGCATTCGCATCCGCGAATACTATCGGAGAATTCGTACAGTGAACGAATGAACACAAAAGCCCGCGCGGCTGAACGATTCCGCAGGATCGTGCGCGAACGGTAGAAACGTGAATCCGCGGATCCAAGAAAAATCGTAGCCATGCCCGAATCATCTTCCTGTGAAAGAGATCATTGTTCGAATCGACGCGGTCCGGCCGATTCACCTATTCGACTTTGTCGGCGGGTCTTACGCCGCTGACCGACTGGCGTGGAAAGGATTATCAGATAAAGTGATTCGGCGATTCGGTGTTTCAGAACGTAGTGTCTTACCGGTGCAGTAGCGACAGCGACGAGGAGCCAGTCACGAAGCAGCCACGACTCAGCCGCAGACACTCGCGGAGTTCTGGAAGGGAATCCCCGGGTCAGTCGGCTCGCTCGACGCGCTCCGAACGCTCCGAACGCTCCGAACGCTCGAAACGCCAGAGAGCCACGAGATCACGGTACTCGGAGGATCCAGCCACAGTCAGAGCGGATCTATCCGACACAGATGCGTCTTCGGAGAATCGATCCATCGGCGAAGGATCTTACTTCGAGGTGCGTATACCACAGTGACACGAAACCGTTTAAATCCGATCAACTCGTTAAGTGATCCGCGAAATACACGAATCTCCTCGAAAAATCGCCCATCGTTCGACAGTTATTTAAACCGATCCGCGTCTCGTTTTACCGTGAAAAGTGCCGGAGGTCCAGAAATATCCTCACGAAATTTATAAGTGATTCGGTTAACGAAACTGGGATTAGAAAGTTCAAATTCGTCCTTGTGGAATTGACCGTGTGTGCACAGCTACGAGTGAATTATAAAAACTGGTGACAAATTAGTGTCGCGCTACGCGTTAATATCGGGTTCGTTCGTCATTTTCCGAAAAAATTTCGCTCCTAAGGCTGTTAGAAACATACTTCGATTCGGTATTTTGTCAAATGGAAACTTTTACTAGCACAAGATTTCAAAATTACCAGAAAAGTGTGAAAAAGTAGTTAAATATTTAACTCGAACTATCAAAGAATCGTATTTCTCGCGGAAGAACGAAATTACTTTCCTAATAACACATGATATGCGAATAAATAGGTAAATTAACGTAGAAGATATTTGATTAGGACGCGATTAAATTTTGAATAATAAATATTATTGAACAACATGAGCGCGTTAGGGAAGACTTGGCTGTCTTGGCTAGTCGCCTAGGGAGTTAAATCCGATTAAATTCCATTTATCCTTCTCCTATTCTTCGTTGCCTCTCCGATTCCAAAGAGTGTGTTGTGACGCGGCCGTGGAACCGGCGCCGCGTTTCCGAAACACTTCGGAACAATGGTGTTCTTGTGAGCCTCTCGTCACGGTCGAATTTTTTCGGCGCGGCCAAAGTGACTGGTTTTTTTCTTGAAGTCTCCTCGCAACTTCGTAATACGGATTTATAAGTGCTCGATAGGAATTTGTGGAACATTTACACATCCGGTGTGTTCGGGGCCCTCCGGTTTCTTTGTTTTTGTCGGAGATCTGTCGGGGTGGTCTCCTTTGTGGTTTGGTGGGATCCGGAGGATCCGTGGTGACGAGATAGATCGGTATTTATCGTTTGTATTTCCTGGGTGAGACTGAAGACGGCCAGGTTCGGTGCTTTGGACGTTCGGATGTTTAGTATTGTTTTGAATTTACCGAACGATTAACGCGGCGCTGCCGACTACGAGTGCCAATGAACGTGCAAACAATGAACTGTGGCAGGAAAATTTGTGCGATCACGTTAGAATATTATTCACCAGTGGGAAATCTAATCGGTTGCATCGATTCGAAGCAGCAGATGTTATATTTTATCTGTTAAATGCTTTTTAATTGAACGAATCGAATTATTGTTCGCGTAGTGCGAGGCACAAAGAATTCGTCCTTTCTACGTCTGGTTTGTCGAGAGTGAACTTGTAACATTATAAACAGAGTTTTTGTAGAGCCATTTTGGAATTTCAATTTTCGTTTTCGATTTTCAGTGCGGAACTTGCGCGGTTGGCTTTTAATTATTCCATAAACGGTTCCTTCAGGAGGTAAACGTTTCGTTGAAATTTAATTGTGTCGACGAAACGGTACTTAATTGCTGTGAAAAGTAAAAGTTGCCGTTATACTGCGTTTATTATGATTAAAAATAACGTGGCGTTAGGGTAGTGCAGTCTTCTAAATATTTCAGTGACGGTGAAATAGTTTTGCAAAAGTGGTTTTACAAAATGTGCTGCGACATTTTTATTTATGTTTGTGTCATTGAACATACATTTTCGTCCAGAAACTTTACTGTAATTTTGAAAATGAGATTTACAATTTCACATTTAAACGGTGCAATTATGATTTTGAAAACGTTCGCTACTTTTCTTAATTGAAATATTTGTAGTATCACGGTTTCTGTTAATTTGAATGTCGTGTATCAGTCAATTTTTATGAATTGAAAGTTTCAAATTTCGATACAATTTTCTCGAAAATCGACAAATCATTACTAAATTTACGATAGAACGTTTACACAAATGTGTTACCAAAAATCAATTATTAATACGGATTTTTATGTAAAATAAAAATTGTCTAAGTCACTTGTACGAAATTAAAATGATTTTGAAAACGTTTGCTACTTTTCTTAATTGAAATATTTGTAGTATCACGGTTTCTGTTAATTTGAATGTTGTGTATCGGTCAATTTTTATGAATTGAAAGTTTCAAATTTCGGTACAATTTTCTCGAAAATCGACAAATCATTACTAAAATCACGATAGAACGTTTACACAAATGTGTTACCAAAAATCAATTATTAATACGGATTTTTATGTAAAATAAAAATTGTCTAAGTCACTTGTACGAAATTAAAATGATTTTGAAAACGTTTGCTACTTTTCTTAATTGAAATATTTGTAGTATCACGGTTTCTGTTAATTTGAATGTTGTGTATCGGTCAATTTTTATGAATTGAAAGTTTCAAATTTCGGTACAATTTTCTCGAAAATCGACAAATCATTACTAAAATCACGATAGAACGTTTACACAAATGTGTTACCAAAAATCAATTATTAATACGGATTTTTATGTAAAATAAAAATTGTCTAAGTCACTTGTACGAAATTAAAATTAGGTGCACACGTTTATCGTAATAAATATATTAGTAGCTTGAATAAGTCGAAAATAGTGTAACAACGTTCTCAAATTTGTTTATTGGCTCAACAGCTTTGTATTTCATCCGTTCATTTTTGTTATAAATCCATCAAATCCGCGGTCTAGTTATGAACGTTTAAAAGTGTCAAATGATTTGAAGTAAATTTTTTCTGGCTGAAAATAATGAAGATCGAAAATTAAGAAAATGTGCAAATACCGTTAACAAGTTCGATAGGCTTACGGTCAGACGATCGCTAAGATGGACATCTGACAGTGGAAGTTGATCCTTATTGGCTGGCTGCTATTGTTTCATTTTGAGCTCGCAGGAAGTGTCGCGCATACTTGGTGCACGCGTTGCGTCCACGTGTGGACGATCGATCTATCGATCAAAATTCGGAACACTCGATCGCGTTACCGTCGGTTCGTTACTTGATCGGTTTCTTTTTGGAATGGAAACCATAACACTGGCCCCGCCACAGTGAAACATAATACCCCGGAATGTTTGAAGTTCTTCTTTCTTTTTCGAAGGTGTTTAAAATATTTATTGGCCGCGTTCGAAATGTATCGCTCGGTTACGCACCGGGTAGTTTTACAATTTTACGACCAGACTGTGTAACAACGTAAACTGTACAACGGAAATCACAAACGGTCGTTTAGCTTGACTATGTCAAGTTAATAATTATTTAAATTTAAATTAAATTATATAATTATTATTAATTAAATTATATAATAATTATTAATTAAATTATATAATAATTATTAATTATAATTATATAATTATAATTAAATTATTTAAGTTTAAATAATTAACTTTTTACTATGTAAATTTATTGCTTTGAACGCGAGGCTAGAAGTGTTTTTTAATTCCTAACTAATATTTATTATTATTATAAAATATCACAATATTTTGTCAAATCCCGATCATATAATTATAGGAAATTCAATACATTGAGCACGAAAGATATTTTTTATCCGCTTACACGAATTTACCAGTGATTCGAAATGAATTTAGGGAAATAATTGCCTTATTTATGTCAATTCTCATTTTGGTATTTATACAGTCATTAAATTTCAATAAATTTTCATCAAATAAATTTTATTGATTAAATCGACATGCCTATTGAATATTGATCTTTATTATTCATTGCATCATAATGTCTTGGGGGATAATTAATTGAATATCCNATTGATTAAATCAACATACCTATTGAATATACCTATACAACAATAAGATTAATTTTTACAATTATTTATTTCTTCTATTTTATTTTACCCCCTATATTAAACTATGTTTGAGATAAATCGTTATTTTAGTTGGTGAACTTGACAAAGTATATATTTTGAAAATATATATAATAATAAAATAAATAAATAAATATATAAATAAATAATAAAATAAATATATATAAATATATATATTAATTAATAAATAACGAATATTTTAAATAATTCGGTATACTAATAAAAAAATCAAATTTCTTTGAAATAAAAAATCGTCATAAATTATCCTATTTATTTAAAATTTATTCGTTTTTTTTCATCCTTCTAAACGATCGATTTTAATGTTTAGGCCTAGGAAAGTAGCCGTGCTCGCGTTAAATTCTTCATAACTTCACTTTCTCTCATGCACTTTCTGTTTCGTAGTTGAAAAATGGGTTTCGCTGTCAACACATCTTACGATCAACGTCGTTTCTTATCAGAATATACGCAGGCATTCGTTCGCTAAAATTTTCATTAATAGACAAGCGTACATAATAACTTCGGATTAAATATCAATTGAAACATTCAGATACGTAATCCGGTGATATTTATGCCAAGATATACGCGATTTCTGTTATCCTTATAACGATTGTACATTTCAACGGCGGTAGTCGAAGTTTTTACGCCAATTTTCTATTCGAATCACTCTTATGCTCTTAAGGTCCCGAATTAAAGTAACTGTACTTGCTTCGCGAACGTGTAATTGGTATTCTTATTAACGTGAAACGATACATAAAAGTGTAAGTAAAAATAGCTGATATCCTGTGAAATAATTAGCTTTCAACTCTAAATGATGCAACGAGTCAATTTATCGGCAAAAAAACGCACAGGAAAATGCGGACAACTCGAAGTGATAATTCATTAAATTATAGAGAGCTCCCATTAATCATTTCATACGACGTGCGATCGTCTCCTTTTTCTTCTTTTTTTTTTACCAGGTTATGATTTTTTTTGTCGTAATATACATTAACGAGCCTGACCCAGAAACTGTCACCTTTTTTGCGTTTGTGTGTTAATGTCGGCGCTAGTTCCCAATTATTGCATGTGTGAGACAATATTCGTGGAAGAAAATTTGTTCGACTGGATAATTGCCAATACGATATAGCATTCTTGTAAAGAATAATTACCAAGGTTGTGGAACAGATTATTATAGAAGTTAGATTGCGGA